CTCCCCCCTCTCTCTCTCTCTTTTTCTACCTCTCGTATATGTATTTTTTCTTTCTTTCGTTATTTCTCTCTCTCTCTCTGCCTCTAATCAACCGCCCCCCTCTTCGCTCCTTCTCTCCTGGCGTTTTCCCTCTTCCGACGTCCCTCCCCCCCTTTCTCCCACTCTCCCTCGTTCTCCCCCTTCCTCTTGTTTGAGCCGCCCACACCAATTCCAATGGCGGGCACATGTACGCCCACGAAGGATTGCCCGCCCGTTCAGGTTCGCCCGCCTGTCCAAGCCCACCGCCCCCCGCAGAGAGAAAGACTCCCCCCAAAGGTTGGGCGATCGAAGTTTAAAAAGGCGGGTATCGAGGGTGTGGGGAACCCGTTTTGAATGACACGCGGGCAAGTAAGAGCGAACAGTTTTGTAATGATTGGTGCCTGCGCTTTTGTTGTTATTGTTGCTGCTGCTGCTGCTGCTGCTGCTGTTGTTGTTGTTGTTGTTGTTGTTGTTGTTGTTGAATATTATTACTTCTAAAGAATAATTATTGTTGGGCCCCCTGGTGCACGCCCCCCACTTCTAAAGAATAATTATTGTTGGGCCCCCTGGTGCACGCCCCCCTCGCCGCGCCTAGGCCGCAGCCACATTTTCATCATTTTCGTGAGGAAGTCTCAGGCAAAACGGGGGAGTCCGGATCCGGTTGTTTTGTTGACGCCCGCTTTCCCTGTCAAAAAACAATATAAAATGACATGTCTTGTTCTCACATAACCAAACTTCAAGAATCCTTTCTGCAAAAAATGACACGACGTGCACACTCGCGCGCGCAAGATGAAATCCTTCCAAAACCTTGGTTTTCGTAGCGAACTTAACATAAAAACATGAAAACCCAATGGTTCTTCAAAACAAAAGTTTCAAAAATTCATCCCGCGCGCTCTTGCGGATTTCTTAGGGAACCCAATACTTTTTCAACATTTCTGTCAAACAGGCTCTTGCGAACAACTTTTTCACGTGCTTCGAACTTCTGCAACAACGGTTGCGCGCCTGCCAGGGCCATCATCCCTGTCAAATAATACCATATGGGACACATTCGTTTTTTCTTCGCGCGCGCACGCCGAAATCTTCAATTGCAGGGGGAAAAGTCGTATACTAAGCTAGCTTACAGAAAATGTTACCACAACAAGTCATTGTACCCATGCGCCAGTGTAGTAGCCAAGGTCGTCCGCAGGCCACGAAGTGAGGTGTCCGAACGTCATAGGGCGGGAAGCTGGGTGTGGGTGGTGGCGAAGAGTCGTTTGGAAATTTGGTAGAGCTTGAACCGGCCCCCCCACAAAGTGGGGGTATTGCCCGCCTCCTATGAAAACCCTGGCACTGGTGAGAACGGAGTGTCCCCACGTGCTAGTAAGTGTTGTTGTTGTTGTTGTTGTTGTTGTTGTTGTTGTTGTTGTTGTTGTTGTTGTTGTTGTTGTTGTTGTTGTATTGTCGTTGAGTGCGATGATGACGACGACAAGGACGACGACAAGGACGACGATGATGATGACGATTATGGTGAGGCTGTTGATGCTGATGGTGACGACGATGATGTTCATGAAGATTATGGTGATGGTGATGCTGGTGGTGATGATGATGGCGAGGATGAGGAGGAAGGGCAGGTGGAGGAGGATAAACGAAGGAGTGGGAGGAGCAGCGGAGAGGTGAATCTGGAGGAGGGCGAGAGATGACGATGGGGATGGGAAGGGAAGAGGAGGAGGAAGAGGAGGAGGAGGAGGAGGATGGGGGAGTCAGTAGGATGAAGAAGGGAAGGAGGAGAATGAGGATAATGGGGTGGGGAAACTTGGAGGAGCATACGAGAGTGGGCAACAAAAAAGATGAGGAAGAGTGAGGATGAAAAGGGGAGCAAAAGGAGGAGCAAAAGGATACGAAGGAGGAGGTGGAGGTCGTCGTTTCACGGCGGCCCTGCGGCGGCCAGGCGGAGGGCTTCGGCGCCGCGGCGGGCGCGTGGGCGCGCTTGGGCGACGCGCGGCGCGCGGAGCTTGCTGCCGCGTCCGCGGGCCCAGCGCGGGCGCGCGGCGGCGTCGTCGTTGTCGTCGTCGCCGTCGTCGTCGTCGTCGTTGTCGGCCGCGGCAGCGGCAGCGGCAGCGGCGGCGGGTGCGACGGCGTTGGCGGCACCTTTGTCGTGGATGGCGTCGTCTCCAGATCTCCGACGTGCTGGCGTTTTCTCGATTTCGGTCACTGGGCCCCACGATCGGTCCCTGGGACCGAACAGGCGTTGGTCCGCAGCGACGATGTGGGTCCAAGGGTAGGGCCTGGGACTCCTGGGGCCGCGCATTGCGCACAAATCAGATCGGCGGCTGTCCGGGTCTTCGTTGTTGGCGGCGTCTTCGCTGTCGCCGTTTTGTGCCGCCTGTCGCGGAGGGGCCAGCCGCTGGTCGCGGCACGCGGCCTCGGAATGCGTTGGGTCTTGACCAGGTGATGGATATGAATATAGGTCTAGTTGTGGGTGTTACAGCATGCGAATTTGTATAGGTATAGGTCTTTGTGCATGTACAGGCGTATGCTTATGCACATGCATTGTGCTGTTATGCAGATGTAGACATACACATATGCGTCCGCAGGTATGTTGTATGTAGGTATGTACATGTACGTTCTGACATGGCCATGCGTACACATTATATGTACAGACATTGGCATAGTTGTATGTGGACTCAACTACAACTATGTGTATGCTAGTGTGTGCTGTATGCTGTGTATGGTATAGAGGCGTGTGTACACACATAAATACATATAGTCATACATATTTTTAACAAAAAAACATACATGTGTTGGCGAACGCAGTTGTACATTCAATGCATGTCTGCATGATTACCGTGTGTATGCATGTGTGGAAGCATCGCCATACCGAATTGCATCCGTAGTTACACCTATGCATCTACATAATTGAGTGCACACGTGTATCTACACATATACATCTGTAGAAAGATCATCGCCCCCCATGGGCCCAGACGTATCCATATCTTCGGCCCCCTGGGGACCCTCGACGTTGGTGCCCCAGGCGGTGGGCGAGGAGAGGCCCCCGCCTCGCGCGACGCCCGCCCTGCGCGATGCCCGCGGCCTCGGCGGCGCAGGCCGCAGAAGTCGTGCCTCTCCCCTGGGCCAGGGCGCCGAGGCAGGCCGCGTTTCGGGCGGCGCGGGCTGGCGAGGAGGAGGAGGAGGAGGAAGAGTATTAGGAGGACGAGGAGGAGGACGAAGAGGAGGAGGACGAAGAGGAGGAGGACGAGGAGGAGGATCCAGAGTGCCGAGCAGGGCCCGGGCTGGCCGCGCGCGGGATCGGCCCGATCGCTCTCGGTCTCTCGTGGTCACGCCTGCCTTCTCCCTCCCGTCCTCCCTTCTTCCCTCCCTCCCTCCTCCTCGCTGCTCCACTTGGGCTTCCTGGGGGCCCCTGGGGCGCTTGCTGGCGGTCTCAGGAGCCCGTCTTGGGGCGAAGAACGCGAAAATGATGTCGCGTTCCCCGACTTGTGCCTCTCTTGGGGCCATCCTGGGGGTCGTCCTGGGCGTGTTGGAGGCCTCCTGGGCTGTCTGGAGGCCTTCCTGCAGCTCCTTGGAGCCTTGGTTCGGGGCCCCTTGGGCCGTCTTTGGTCGATCTTGAGGGCCTCCTGTGCCGTCTTGGCCGATGTGTGAAAGCCCAGAGGGCACAGCTGGTAAAGCCATACGTCTATCGAAGGGAAGGGGCCGATTTTTGCCTCTGGCGGCCTTCTCGGGAGGCGTGTTGGAGGCCTCTTGAGGGTTCTCAGAAGCCGTTTGGACCATGTCTCGAGGGACTTGGGGCGATTTCTCGGCAACTCGGGGCCCTCTTGGACCGTCTTGGGTGCCTCTCGAGCCGCCTCGGAGCTACAAAAACACACCATAAGTGCCTGCATTCCCCCTGACGAGTTCGTGCTGGGCAGTGTGTGTGTGTATGTGTGTGTGTGTGTGTGCGCGCGCGTGCGTGCGTGCGTGCGTGCGTGCGTGCGTGCGTGCGTGCGTGCGTGCGTGCGTGCGTGCGTGCGTGCGTGCGTGCGTGTGCGTGTGTGTGTGTGTGTGTGTGTGTGTGTGTGTGTGTGTGTGTGTGTGTGTGTGTGTGTGTGTGTGTGTGTGTGTGTGTGTGTGTGTGTGTGTGTGTGTGCGTGTGTTTGTGTCTGTGACTTTTTGGTTGATGTTTTGTTGTGTGTGTGTGTGTGTTCAATACCCGTTTGGGGGTCCCTTGGGGGGTCTGTAGGGGGGGGTAAGAATCTCGCTCACAGACCTGGAGCCCCACAAGGGGTGGGCGGATTGTTTCCATGACGCGAGCATGACTGGGTCTTATCCTCGCTCTTCCCCCTGCTCCTCGTCCTCCTCCTCCCCGTCCTTTTTGTTTCCTTGTCCTCGTCCTCCTCGCCGTTGTCCCCCTCCTGCCTCTTCTTCTCTATCTTCTTCTTCTTCTTCTGCTCCTCTCGATAATTGTTTTTTACCCTCTGGAGCATGAAGCGCGTTGTGACCCCTACTCCCTCCCCCCCCTTCCCCCCATTGTGACGCCTTCCCCCATCGGTGCGTCCACGGCACTGCCGCAGTGCCTCCGGCACCACAGTCTGGGGGGGGGGGGGCACTACATGATGCCCCCTACCGTTCCCCCCCCGCCCTCCCCCTCATAACGCCCCTTACAGTCAACCCGCATAGTAAGGATGAGCGACTTTCCGAGGCTACCCCTGCATCCTTGCCCCCTCCGGCCCATGCGTAGCGACTCGCTGGCCAGCCTCGTTCGAAACACGTTCACGTGGCCCTTCAAGGCCCTTGCATCCTTACCGCACATCCTTCTTGTACGGGTTGGCTGTTCGGCCGCGAGTGCAAAAAATGCGCTCCTCCCTCCCCGGCCCTCCCTGCCAGGCCTTTCCCTGTCCTCCTCCACGGGGGAGGGGGCAGGAAAAGGCCTGGCAGGGACGACGACGACGACGACGACGACGACGACGACGACGACGACGACGACGACGTGGCGGGGCGCGGCCGCCGAGGCGCGGGCTGGCGGGCGGCGGCGCCCTGACGCCCACGGCGTGGCACACGGTGCTGGACGCGTGCGCCAAGGCCTCGCGCGGGGGCCTCGGCGGGCTGGGGGGCCACCTCCCTCGAGGAGGAGGCGGGGAGGAGCCGGGGGAGGAAGACGACGACGAGGAGGAGGAAGAGGAGGAGGAGTACGAGGAGGAGGAGGGAGGAAGGAGGAGGAGGAGGAGGAGGAGGAGGAGGAGGAGGAAGGGAGGAAGGGAGGAAGGGAGGAGAAAGGAGGAGGAGGGGGGAGGAGGACGAGGAGGAGGAGGAGGAGGAGGAAAGGGAGGAGGAGGAGGAGGAGAGGAGGAGGAGGAAGAGGAGGAGGAGGAGAGGAGGAGGAGGAGGAGAAGGAGGAGGAGTGAAGGAGAGGAGGAGAGACGAGAAGGAGGAGGCGGGGAGGAGGAGAGGAGGAGGAGGAGGAGGAGGAGGAGGAGGAGGAGGAGGAGGAGGAGAGGAGGAGGAGGAGGGCGAGGGCCCCTGGAGGCCAAGAACGGGCAAGAAACCTTTCCGTCGCGATCTCCCTCGCACGACGCGGGCAGGTCCCGAGGGAGGAGGCGCCCCCAGGGGAGGAGGGGGAGGAGGAGGGAGGAGGAGGAGGAGGAGGGGGAGGAGGAGGAGGAGGAGGAGGAGGAGGAGCAGGAGGAGAGGAGGAAGGAGGGAGGAGGAGAAGGGCGGAAGGAGGAGAAGGGTGGAGAAGGAGGGAGGTGGAGGAGGAGGAGGGCGAAGGAGGAAGGAGGAGGAGGCGGAGGAGCGGCGGAGGAGGAGGAGGAGGAGGAGGTGAAGAAGGAGGAGGAGGGGGAGGAGGAAAGGGCGGAGGAGGAGGAGGAGGAGGAGGAGGAGGAGGAGGGCGGAGGAGGGCGGAGGAGTTGGAGGAGGAGGAGGAGGAGGAGGAGGAGGAGGAGGAGGAGGGACCCCCCCCCGACGAGTGCACAGAGGAGCGCCCCCGCCGTGGCCTCGGGGGCGGCCACGATGGCCTTGATGACTGAGGTTACGTCAACTACGTTTGCTTTTTTGTTATACATAAATAGGTTTGAATGTCTCTGGGCTATTGTTCATTTGTCTGCCAAAATCCGCCTTTAGGAGGGTGCGCCCTACCTAAGACTGGGAGTATGGATCTCATGGCCAGGGCCATGGCTTCTCCCCAGATTTCACGGCGTCTCGTCTCGGGCAGTGGCGAAGCGTCCGGGTCTGCCTATAGGCCCACCAGAAAATGTCCTAAGAATTTGTTGCGGCTTACTCGAATGATTTCTTTGAACATTTGTTGCTGGGACTGTCTGGCTTTAGCACATCGGGCTTACGTTCTGAGAACACTGGTCTTGGTATGCGAATATTTCTTCGTTCTCATGACGTGCCGCGGTAGGCCTACAGGCATGCTGGACGGTCGGTCCCCGCTCAAGGTTGCGGCGCTGGATGTCGTGGCCGGGGCCATGGCACCTCCCCAGATGTCATGGCGCCTCGCCTCGGAGCAGGACGGCCCCTGTCAGACAGACAGACAGACAGAGACGGACACGCGCGGAACGTCTTTCGTGGAGCTGCGGAGCCTGGCATCGGCTCCCCCCAGTGTCCTGCGCCGCCTGGCGCTTGTGGCGCCCGTGCTGATCGCCCAGGAGTACGGCGGGCCGCTGGAGGAGGAGCGCATCCTCGAGCGCAATGCGGGGTGCCACGCGCGGGCCCTCCCGCGGCCTGGCGCCCCGCGGGCCGCCTGGAGGAGGGCGCAGCGCGGGCCGCGCCTCCCGTGCCCGAGGTCGGCCGTAGCGGCGAGCTCAGCGGAGGTGGAGCCGCGGGCTGTGGGCGCAGATGCCGGTCACGTCGCTGATCTTGAAGCGGAGCTCCTGGCGGAGGCTGACGCCCAGGCGAGCGTCGGTGCGTTCCCTCCCCCGCCAGGCGTTTGGCTGGTCGCTGACCCGGTGGCAGGGGCGAGGGCCTTCCGGGAGGGCTTCGACGCGGGCTGGCGCCTTGCTGGGACGGCCTCCGGCGCTCCGCGGGGCGGCGACGGCGTGGTGCTACAGGAGCAGTGCGTGCCCTCCTCGTCCTTCCGCGGCGTATGGGAGGTCTGCAGCGACGGTGCGCGCGGTGACGGGCAGGCTGCCCCTGCCGCCAGGGCAGAGCCTGGCCCTCCCCGTGAGGGGGTTTGGCAGGCAGGCGCGGCGATGGAGGAGGACGGCAGGGCCGCTTCCATGCGCCGTGCCGTGCGTGCGATGGTGTGCAAGGCGGCACTGCAGGCGGGAGAGCGCCGCGGCCGCCGCTGCTTCTGGAGAGCCTGGCGGGGCCAGGCAGCGACGACGGCGTCGATGCCGGCTTTGTGGTCGGCCCTGTCGATGGCGACGCAGACGGGGACACGGCCTGCCCTGGATCCCCCGCCCGTTCGGAGCCCGTCAGCCACGTCCTGGAGTATCTGGACCGCTTCGGCGCGGCGGTGCTGAGCGGCGGCACGGCCGGGGAGCTGGAGAGGGGCACCGCTGGTTCCGAGCGGGCCGCCGCTGCGGCGAGTTCCGAGGGGTACCTCCCTTTCCTTGATGAGTTCGGCTTGGCCGCGGTGGCTGCAGCGGCCCGCGGGCCGCTTTCGGGAGTGGAATCGCTCCTGGACCTCGCCGAAGGCCGCACCGAGGATTGGCTTCGGCAGCGTGAGCTTACACTCGGAGACAGGGCAGAGGTCGAAGCCCGCGCTGAGAGCTTACTGTTGCAGAAGGGAGGTCGTAGTGATTCTTTATCACGGTGATTGCTTTGAGGTGGACGGTCAGTGATCGTTTCTGGCTTGTGCTGTCCTCACACCTTGATGCTGGGAGTCGTGAGTGAAGCCTCCTGTACTTGAATGTCCACGCTGTGTATTTGCAATGCAGTCGACTTCTGGAGCAGGTAGTGTAGTTTCGTTCTGCTCTGCGCTGCTGCAGGGGGGGTCGGCTTGTCATGCGTTCGGCAGCCGTCCCCTGGTGGCCGCGGTGGAGGCCCAGGGCGGCCCCCGCGGGGAGAGGCGGCCCTAGGTGGCCCCTCTCGGGAGGGCGTGCCCCGGGTGGCGCTGGTGGCCCCTGGAGGCCCCTCGGTCCTTTTTTCTTTCGCCTTTAAGGCCCCGTCTTTAACTTTAATTTTAACGTCCGAAGGACGGCCCACTGCTGGGCAGCGCGGTGGGCCCTCAGGCCCAGATGAACAAGTAGGCGTCGAAGTGCGTATTTCGCAGCTGCGTCTTCCCATCGGCGTCTGGGCCTCGCAGCTCGGTGCAGGACGCCCCCTGTCTCATCGTCGAAGAGGCATTGCCATGCCATGAACTTTTGGCGCTACGCGCGCAGTGCTTGCGTCCGCGCTAGGCCGCCCAGCGGCGCCTCCGGCGCCGGGCCTGGCGCGCGGAGCGCGCCAGGGAGGCGGGTCCAGCGCGGATCCAAGGAACCCGTGCGGAGCGCCACAAGTGTATGTTCATGGCGGTCTTGCTTCCCCTTATAGCCTCTGTTCAGGACGCCCCCTGTCCACGCACCTGGGTCGCGCGCGTGCCTCGGGCCCTGGGAGCAGCGCCAGAGGCGCCGCTGGGGGGGGCCTGGCGCAGGTCCGAGAGAATTCCGCGCGGCGCTCGAGACACACGTGACCATGTGTAGGTTTGTGCAGGTCGAGATTCATGGAGAGGAGGCGTGCTGCACAATTATTTCCAGATGTTTAAAATATGGTTCAATTATGGTTTAAACATGTTACAAAGATGTTTGACACATGTTGAGAACATGCTTTACACATTTTCAACGCACCTGTAATTCAATGATAGGACTTTTCAATCACAAGTGTAGGTGTTCTTGATCTTCCACAATTCAACCAGCATAGAGAGGATGGGCAACCTTCCCCAGGGCACCCTTGCCATGCACCCTGCCTCGTCGGCCCATCCTTGGCGACCTTCGCTGGCCAACCTTGATCAAGAAACTTTCACATTCAAGCAGTGGCGAAGCGCCCTGGCGTGCCTATAGGCCTACCAAACAATGACCTGAGAAACCCTTGTGGTTTCCACGAAATGTTCTTAGATAAATTATGGCTGGGACTGCAGTGTTTTAGTACATCGGGCTTAGCTCTAAGAACCATGTGTTTTGTTCAGATAACATTCTTGGGTTCTAAGAACATGTCGCGGTAGGCCTGTAGGAGTGCCTGGACGGTCGGTCCCTGCTCGAGTTCGAAAATCGTTCACATGGGCCGCCAAGGCCCCCGTGTATCCTTGCCGCGCATCCTTGTGATGCGGGTTGGCTGCACTCTGGGACGCCCCCCCCTTCTGGGGCGCCCCTGCCGTGGCCTGTCCCTCTTTGCGGTTCCGCCGCAGCGCCCCCCCCCCCCCCCTGGCGCTCCCCTCCCCTTCAGTCGGGTATGTCCCTCTACAGGAGGCATTTTCAAAATTCGGAAAGCATAAGTGTAGTCCCAGGGCGTTTTGTCGTTTTCGTTGTTGTTGTTGTTGTTGTTGTTGGTGGTGGTGGTGGTGGTGGTGTTGTTGTTGTTATTGTTGTTGTTGTTGTTGTTGTTGTTGTTGTTGTTGTTGTTGTGTTTTGTTTTGTTTGTGACTGTTTCTCATGTTCCTCCAAAGTGCGCCTGCAGGACGACGACATGCCCGACCTCCCCCCCCCCTCGCCCGCCCCCCCCGCCGTCAGGCAGGGGACGTCGTGCACGCGGAGCACTGGCTCTCCCTGGGCACCTCGGAGAGGGCGGCAAGAGCACGCCCTCCCAGACGTAAGGTCGGGCATGTCTCTCTACAGGAGGAATCTGCAGAATTGGCAAGAATATAGGCTAGGGGCGATTTCTATGCTATTTTCTGGCTATTTTTGCATATGTTCAGTTTTTCCCCAATCAGTGCTTGCACTGAAGGGGTCCTAGCGGAAACTGAAAGATTTGGCGAATTTGTCCCGCCGATTTTGGAGGCCGGCTGGGTTCCCAGATTCCCGGTTCCGGGTTCCCGTGTTTCTGGTCGTTGGTTCCGGGCCGATTTCGGTGGGTTCCGGATTCCCGAATTCCCGGGTTTCCGGTCGATCTCCTTCTCGATATTTTTACCGATCCCATCTCAAATTATCCATTGAATTGTTTTTTTCTTTGGTGCAATCCGCCTGTAGGAGGACGTGCCCGACCTAATCTTAGACCTTCGGCGTGCTGCGAGAAGCGGGGCGGAGATCTCGGGCTGGTTTCTCTGCTCCTGGTGTCGGGTGTGGGTAGAGGTGCCCCCTGCTCTAGGTGTCATGGCGCCAGCATCGCAGAGCGGAGTACGCTTGGAAAACAATGGGATGAGCCCGAGTTTGTCCTGGGGAATGTCGCTCCAGAGTTCGAAGGAAATGTCATGCGGATTTGTTTTGGCCAGGGGAAGGAAGGCAACAAACAAACATCCGCGTGAATGTGTTACTTCGTTTTTGTTCGCTCGCCGTTTCGGGGTGCTGCAGCACGTCTGCAAGGGTCGGTGCAGTGAGAGGTGCCCCCCGGGATTTCCAAGGAGGCTCCCGCGGCCTTTCTCCGAGAGCCTCTTACGAGGCCCGGAGCGAGAAGCTAGGGCCAGGGGCCGGGAGCAGCTGGGGCCAGGGGCAGCTTCAGCAGCACCTTGAGCGCCCTTGGCGAGGTCGCACAGTCCCAGAAGAGGGGGCGGCCAAGAAGGGGAGCTGACCAGGGGTGGGTGGGTTTCATGGCTGGGGCCATGATATCTCCCCAGATCTCATGGCGCCTCTTCTCATTTCAATGCGTCCCCCCCCTCCCTGCCGCGCACGTGTCTCGGGTCATCATTTGCCCCTCCCCCGCCCCCTCCGCCCTTCTCGGACACTCCCCTCCTGGAGTCCCCCGAAAAGAATCGGGACGGATGTCTCAGGCCGGCTTCTGCCCCTGGGGGACCCCCCGGGGCCCCAGGACGTTCCAAAAACGACCAATGACGAAATGCCAGTCGCCGGGAAGTGACCGATTTCTGGGGACGCCGTATTGAAGGTTTTGCCAGTCAGCGTGCACAAGCGGGTCGAAGCCAGTGCAGGCGTTGGTCGGGCTATGGGCAGGACGCTCCCGGAGCTTCATTGGGGCGGGGGGTGTTCGGGAAGAGACGCGAACGCCGTGTGGAAAGCATCAAGAAATCGGATATCTTGGATCTGGGCCTTCAGGTGGGCGCTGGAGCAGGCGGGCTCTGAGAGGATCGTGCCGCGTCTCGTCGATGCATCTGCTATCTAGATGTGGGGCCCGATATTCTCGACGCCCGCGTCGCCGATGGATGCATCGCGGGCGTCGATGGTGCATCGCCGATGCCCAGAGGAGCAAGAGATAATGATCATAACGCGTTCCAATCTTTCAAGGATCTCCAAGGTTTCCGAATGCCCCGCACGGGCTGCAGAGACGATGGGCGCTAGATGCTGGAGAAATCCTGGAACGCATCCTGAGCCAATCCTATCATGACATCACCGTCGTCCTAGATGCATACTATAGTCAGGCCGCGTAATAAGGATGGGCAACCTTCCCAAGGGTTCCCTTGCATCCTTGCCTCCTCGGCCCATCCTTAGCCACTTTCGTTGGCCGCGCCCCGCTCGAAAAGCTTCGACGTGGCCTTCCAAGGCCCCTGCATCCTTATCGCGCATCCTGAATTTTACTGGTTGACTGTATATGCAGCGCGATCCTCCGACACCAGCTGCTTCGACCCCACCTGGGAGGCCTCGACGCAGTGCACGTACTCGGGGGCGGTCGCGGGCGTCTGTCTTCAGAGAAGGTGGAGGAGGAGGAGGAGGAGGAGGAGGAGGAGGAGGAGGAGGAGGAGGAGGAGGAGGAGGAGGAGGAGGAGGAGGGGTGGGGGGGAGGAGGAGAGGAGGAGGAGGGAGGAGGAGGGGAGGAGGAGAGGAGGAGGAGGAGGAGGAGGAGGAGGAGGAGGAGGAGGAGGAGGAGGAGGAGGAGGAGGAGGGAGGAGGAGGGGGAGGGGGAGGGGGAGGGGGAGGGGGAGGGGAGGAGGAGGAGGAGGAGGGGAGGAGGAGGAGGACTCGGATGCTGTGGCCCTCCCGTACGATGCCTCGCTCTCCTTCCCGGCCTCCCAGCTCGGGGGGGGCGCTCCGGTCCCCGCGGCCGGACTCGCCCCGGAGTGCCCCAGCCCGATCGTGCCACGGGAGGTCCAGAGAGCATGTCGGGGTGTGCACAGTGAACCCATGCCAAGAATCGGAGGTTGATAGACCTCCTACCCTGACACGTCGATTACGGATTTGGCCGTTTTCGGTTCGCGAGAGGGCGGCGCGGCCGTCATTTTTGCGGGCCGTTTTCACTAAGGGGAGAATTTGCTAAATGGAGGTTTGTCCACCGCCGAAAACACCCTGCTGATGGTTTCTTGGGTTTCGATGGTTCAGCATGGTGGAAGCGTGGCGCCCCCATGCCAAAAGTCAATGGACATCCTGGGGTCTCAGGGTTGGGTTTCTTGTGGAGGGTTTCTTGTGCTCGAGCTCCTACTGTATGCCAGGCTGCTGTGCAGTACGCGCGGGGGCGGATGGGTCGCGTGGGGGTGTAGGAGCAGACTGTCCTTCGCGGTGCGAGAGGGTGCCCCCCCTAATTCTTCAAGATCTTCCGCCCTAACCTCACGCCCCTTCTGCGATACGATCTGTGTGGTCGAAGAAGAACAAAGCGCCATAAAACTTTGGACGGTCCGCGCGGATGTCTTGGATCCGCGCTGTGCCCCCCCTGGCGGCGCCTCCCGCGCCGCCCTTGGCGCGCCCCGCTTGCCAGGGAGGGGGGTCCGGCGCAGATCCAAGAAATCAGCGCGAAGGGCCAACAGTTTATGTCTATGCCGTTTCTTCTTCTTTTTTCTTCAGTGTGATTCTTCGATTGCGTAAGGTTCCAGGGAGTTTCGGTGGATTCACCCGCACCATCCGCGGAGGTCGGATGGTATGTAAGTGTGGAGTTGGAGGGGTTGCCCTGTGGGCGAGTGCTGACCAAACCACTGGGAGCCTCTTCTCGCCCCCCCGGGTTTCACCGCCGCCGCCAGGCGCGCGGTCCGTGCCTGGGAAGCTGGCAACGTGGGTCGGCGGCGATTTTCGACGATATTCTTCTGCTTCGAAGAAAAAGAAGAATAATAATCTGAAGAAGAAGACGAAACATATTAATCATATTAATAATAATGATAAACATAGTATGAAGACAAACGCCATAAACACAAACTTTAGGCGCTCCGCGCAGTTGTCTTGGATCCTCGCTGGGCCCACCCAGC